CCTGACTCATGTTATTTCCAGTTGCCTCCGATGCATGTGAAAGTTAGGCACTGAATAAGGAAGACAAAAGAAGATTCGATACTTTTGAATGATGGTGCTGGTGAAGACTATTGAAAGCACCCTGGACTACCAAAAGGACAAACAAGTCTGTCTCAGAAGTACAGTCAGAATGCTCATTGTAGGCCAGGATGGTGAGACCTCTCATGCACCTTGCACATGTTACGAGAGACCTGTCCACGGAGAAGGACATCCTGGTTGGTAAAGTTGAGTGGCAGCAATAAAGAGGCAGGCCTTCAATGAGCTGACTTGAGACCGTGGCTGTACCAATGGGCTCAACCCTAAGAAGAATTGTGAGGATGGTGTAGGACCGGGCAGTGTTTTTTGTTTTGCTCATAGCATCGGCATCGCTAGGAGTCAGAACCAGCATCTACATCACTTATCGCAGGAGGGGTGCTGTTGGGTAAGCATTGGACCGCTAGCTGTAAAGTCAGAGGGCCAGAGCCACCAGCCATTGCAGAGGGGACAGATGATGCTGTCTCCGCCTTTAAAGATTTCAGCCTCAGAAATGATGTACTGAGTGCCTATAAGTCAGCATTGACTCAATGGCAGTGGATCGGGTTTTTTGGATCATTTATCACTGATTTAATCATAAACCTGAAAATTATGTTCCATGATCTCTGTGTTGAAACAAACTACTTTTAAATGTCACTAATGAATTCAAGCAAATTGACAACTATTCTGGTATTAAAAATTATGATTTTTAATTGTTTAAAACTTTCTTATGTTATACACCTGCTTAAAATGGAATCCCTTTATCAGAGGACCTTCCTAAGGAGAGTACTGCCATTAATTACATTTAACATCTACAGCCTGTGCTATCAGAGTTTTTAAGGTCTGTGTGCGGTAGTGGGATTCAGCCAATTCACATGGTTAGGGAGAACCAATACCTCATTTTTCCGTTGAGTTTGGTGAACTGGCTGTTAACATGGTACTTGTAATCAGGGCTCTCAATAAGGTGTGGAAATCACAAGTTTACATTTCTTACTCTTTTTTAACATTCATCTGTGCAACAGAATATTCTAAGCATCCACAGCAATGTTCATTCTCTTTATAAGTATAAAAATTAGGTGAAACTAGGCTTTTAATATTTATCCAAACATTTCATAACACTTGTTATACTTTTTTTTAGTGTTTTTTTTAAACAATCATTTTATTGGGGGCTCTTACAGCTCTTATATAACAACCCATACATCAATTGTATCAAGCATATTTGTACATATGTTGCCATCACTATTTTATAAACATTTAGTTTCTATTTAAGCCCTCA